AATTGTTGTTTGCTATAACTTATGGTTGTCTACACATAGTTGTTACACATGGCTATTTATATGTTGCTGTTTTGCATGTGATCTCTTGCACGTATTTGTTTATCTGAAATTTTACTTTGATTTTGTCACATGTTTATATTGTTTACTTGTTTACTATTGGGAGTACTTTTGAAGTATGTGTTCATGATACATTGAAATTGGAGAAGATAAGCTGGTTTTGGTTTTTTTTGGTTTTTATGAATTAAGAGTATGTATAATAGGATTTTCCTCCTTATATTTATATAGTTGATAGGAAGTCTGGTGTCTTTCTAATTCAAGAAAGGTGGCAAGATTATCTGATTTATCAAATGAGATCTGACCTTCCTTGAGTTTTTGCAGTGTCTAGAAGAGATGTCTAATCTGGCATATGACTGGCTATAGTGGTAGCAAGGATGCTGGTTTCTTAAGACCTTACTGTAAATCAGGAAGCTTAGTTTTTATCTTTTTCTTTTGCAAGAAGAAGATAATTTAAGTTGATTACTTGTTATCTATAAATTGATAGAGTTAGTGTTGTTGTAGTATTTGCAATGATATACCTGAATAAAGTTGTTTCTTGGGTTTGGGATGCTTGAAAGAAAAAACTTGATGAAATTTTTCCTTCTTGAAAAGATTTCCTAATAAGAAAATTAGTGATGAATAGAAAAGAATTACTTAGTATAATTAATATTCTTTATTATTATTGTTGTTGTTATTGTTATTGTATTGAAAAATTAATTTGAGCAGATTTAGTTTTTGTTTTGATGTTTTGATAAAATTTGATTGAATAATTAAAGAGTAATAATTATTTAAAAAAAATAAACTGATTTTAGTTTTTTATATATAAATTTTCAAGAAATTTGAAATAATGTAGCAAATATTATCATAGTAATATTGTATATAAAAATTGACTTAAAACAAATATTAGATTAAACAATTTTGTTTAAGTATATTTTCAAGAAGTATTTAGTTTAGAAAATATAATAGTATTGATATGAATAGTTTTTATAATATAATAAGAATAAAAAAAAGTACAAAAAAAACAAAAAAAAAAGAATTATTACAAATCTTTTCTTATATAACCAAAGGATAAGCAAAATTTCCAAACTTAAATAAATTTTAACCAAAGATTCTATCTTACTGCATTAGTTATTTTGAAACTTTTTAAGTTTTTGAGTTGAAACTTACTTGTAATAAAGAGAATAAAATATTTTTTTTTAACAAAATTATTATAAAAGAAAAGTTTTTAGCAAAAAAACATAATTAGAAAAAAGTTTTTTAAAATAATTAAAATAATATATATTAGTTTTATTTTTATTAATATAGTTATTAAATACAAATTAATATTTATAAAATAATATTCTTTATGATTAAAATTATAATTAAGATTTATTAAATTCATAAAAAATCATTTTATTTTATTATATTTGTTAATTTTTTATTTAAATATTATTGTTATAATAATTTATAATAATATTTTTTTGCTTTATTAAATAAACTTATTTTATTGATTTGTATATACATTATTTGGGTCTATAATGTAGTGGTTAATACTCCACAAGTCAAATCACAAGATATCAGTTCAATCCCATATGAAAGCGGTTGAATAAAATTAATATAGTATTTAGTGTTATAATCTGTAAAAGTATTGTTTCTCATGAAAAACCATTTTATATGCTGATCCAGTGAATATTGAAATTGTGATTTCCAGAAAATGTATTGTAGCATAACAATTATTTAATTGATGTTACAATGATTGCTGAAAGTTGCAAAATGTATAAGATGTCCATTTTCGATAAGCAGGTTTGATAATCGCTCCTCTAATATCTGGTGTCTTTTTGCAAATCCCTGCTCTAGTCTTATTCTAATCCAGTAATAAACTGGTCTAGTGGTGCTTATCTCAAGAAGGTATTTGATAGTAAGACCTGTTTCGTGCAAGAGTACTATAAGTCACTATTTAAGCAATAAGAACAGTTATAAGTCTATCTTAAATATTCTTGAGTATTATTTAGGCAAGTAAGAAATTAAATGGTTAGCCCAGCTACAGGTGGTAGTAAAGATATTTATTTCCAATGAAGCAAGCAGGTGTTATATAGCTTTATTCACCATATAAAAAATATTACCTTTAGTGCATTTCTTTATTTTTTCTTAATTCTTCTTTAATAAATAAAGCAGTTAGTAAATTTACTAGTAACTTGGCAAAACAAGCAGGGCTTTGGCATGTTTGTATCAACCTCTATCCATTAGAAAAAGTTAATAGCAACAACCGATATATGGAAAAATCCCATATAGTTTAGTATACATAAAGATAAATTAATATTATAGTATAGTTCTATATAGTAATATGTACGAATATATATAAATATTAACCTTAATAAAGTTTTCTAAGCAAGGTCTATACTAGTATTTAATAATATATATTATTTGTATATATGTATTATTTGATTTAATAAAGAATATATGTAATATAATTTTAAAACTATAATAATTAATTAATAAATCTTTAAATTAAAAATAATTATTTTAAAAATTTTAGTTAGGTGCTTTATTAAAATATATATAATTTGATTTATAAAATTATTATTACAATAGAATTTTATCATTATTTATATATTTTTAAAACTGGAAAAATTTATAGTTAAAGTAATTATAAATTAAAAAAATATTATATTTTTTGAAAATTTCTAATATATATATTTTTATAGAAATTGTAATAAGTTAAATATGTTTATTTATAATATATATAATAAATATATAAGCAAGTATTAAAATAGAAAGAATTATTACAAAAAAAAACAAAATAAATTATATATATAAATTATTATACTTAAGAATTTTATACTTAACTTATTTAATTCTAGATATAAAGTATAATTATATACTTGATATACTATATATTTATTATTTTTTTTAAGATCTTTTTAAATAATATTATATTCTTTTTAATATCATTTATGTTTTTAATTTACTTTATTATATATATATAAAGTTAGAAATTTTAAAATCTTCAATATACTTCAATTTAAACCAATTTTTATAATTATTAAATTAGAGTTTTGAACTAATATCAAAATGGTATTGACCTATAATAAGTTTAATATATAAGTTGTAACTTGCTATATTAAACTTATAGGAAATTTAATATATAAGTTGTACCTTGCTATATTAAACTTATAGGAAATTTAATATCAATTTGATATTGAAATAATACTATTAGAAATCTTATATCAAATAATATGGATTATTATTATTCTAAAAAAATTAGATTCATAAATGTTTTGTCTTATCCAGCTATAATATCACTAATTGATATAATAAAAAATAGATTTGATATTTATAAGAAACAATCTATTCCAAGCATTGTAGATCAAAAAACCATTGCTCTGCAATAAAAAATAAAATGATAAAACTAAATAATATTAATATAGTTTTGAATAGCTACTTCAAAGTTATAAAATTTTTTCATTATATTCTATATATGGGTAATTATTTTCGAAGGCGGACCGGAAATTTTCTGGTGTGATCCTAAAATTTATATTATATATGTATTGTTTATAAGTTGGGTCCGAAAAAATCATATCCAGCATTTTTGTCACCTTCAAAAATAATTACCCAAATATAAAAATTTAAAAAGTTTGCCACATATTATATATAATTAATCTAATTAAGAAATTATTTTATTAATTAACTTTTTTTTTAATATTGGCTTTTATTTGATAACTTAAGTTATATATTATTTTAATAGAAATTAATTTTTTTAATTAAAATATTTTTTTGTACTAGTAATTTACTAATTATTTTTTTATTATTAATTACAATTCTATTATATGAATTTGTAACTTTTTTTTAAATTATATTTTATAACTTTTATCAAATAATAATAAATAATAATTGTTTATATAAAATATTTTTGAGTTTTATTAAAAGTATTAAATACTTAAATTAGATATTTTTATATTTTAATTTTAATAATTAAATCTTATATATCAGAAGTTATTTAATTTTATATTATATAATATTTGATTTTATATTGAAAATTTATATTTTAAAATCAATTTAATCTTTTATATACTGTATATTATTTATTATATCGAAAAAAATTTTTTGATAAAAATTATCAATTAAAAAAATTTTTTTATTTCAATGAGTTAATGAACATGTGATATTAATGTGGTTATTAAATTAAAAAAAAAACAATAATATTTATGGTAATTATATAATAATTATTTTTTAAAAATAAAATTTTATGAATTTCTTTTAATAGTAATATTTATAAAAATCTAAAATAGTTCAAAATATTTGTTTTCAATCTTATTATAATTATATTTTTAAATATTAATTCTCAGTATGTAGAATTTTCAGGATACTGCACGTATAAGAAAATTCTGTAATAAAATTCTATTCCAAAGATAATATTTTTCATTTATAATTAAAATTACGTATTTATACAGTATTTTTTATATTTGAGATTAAACCACGTGTTTGTTAACGCAGGATTATTCTTTTAAAATGAGCAACGACATTGGACAAAATGAAAATAACAAATAAGGTATTCATTGAATATGATACTTATAGGACTAAAACAAGTATTGATTTTTTTCCTACTATACCCTAATCTCGGAATTCGGAGTTAAAGATGCTAAAAAAGGAGGTGGACGTTATTTAGATATGAGCTAGGGTTTCCGGGTTACTGTTTGCGGAACATAATGATTTACAAAAAAATCTGCCGTACTACCGTATACAGTACTATACTGTAACATGTTTCAGGGCGTTTTTGTATGGATCGACCACCTCCAAAATTCAATAACTATACTATTCCGTTTATGTACTACAAAAAGAGCATTTGTCGGAGAAGATACAGTTATGGTGCCAAGACTTAATACTGTACTGTATTCAAGTCATGCCACTGAGTGCCAAGATTATTTTGATATTTTAAATAAACCTCGACACTATTACATCGCGTCAAAAAACAGAAGCTCATCAAAATGTCAAAGTTCGTTTCTATATTTTTAATACTTCTCTTCGCATGTGTTGGTTGCTCCTTAGCTGGTATGTCTCTCTAGTATACTAGAACGTTTCGTATATCGAAAATAAGAAAAATTAATCAATTTTTGCGACAGATGTTACAAATATAGGCATTCCTCAGAGTCCAGTACATACCGGAGATAAAATTACCATAAATTGGTCATTATCGGATTCTTCTTCAAAATCATCAGCCGTTCTTAAAATCACTCAAGTCCCTGATGGTAATTATACTATTATCGACAACCAGTTGGAGCTGAGTACACTACAAGAGAATTGGATAATTTCAGTGGCAGCCGGGACTTATTATTTTTCAATAATTTCTGATGACGGAGAGGTGCGATCCGACAACTTTATTGTTAATAAAAGTGAACCAACCGCTAGCTATAATGATAGTATGTATTTTTACATTACAAATGAGAGATGAATATTTATACCTTAAAATTATGTTGTTGTTATTTGATAATACGTTTACTAACAACTTTCCTTAACAGTTTCAGCGCCTACTCCAAGTACAAATGATACCAAACTTTCGATGCCTATAATAATAATCATAGCTATATGTGCAGTATTGGCGTTGATACTACTTGTTAATTGCATTATATATGTCTTTTTTTCAACTATCTGTTGCTTTTGTTGTTGTTAAGACAAAATTTTGTAACTTCCATGGAATGTATAATACAGTATTGTTTAGATTATAGATATTGTATTCATTTTTTAAAGCAATTATAATCTTACAAGAAATAATAATTAATCGAACAATCTTACCTCCTTTAAGTTTGATCAGAGACCAGCAAAGAAATAGTAAATATAAATAGTGCATATATTCTCAGATTATGCATTGATGGTTTTCAATCCAATTAATGAAGCGTATAATTGTAGCAAAACGAGCCATTCAGTGGTTGAAATATTGTAGCTATATTACTTCGATATTCACGACTGGTATTATCTTTGATGTCAAGAAGTTCTACGATATACTGTTGATGTTTCACTTTGCACACAATATTTATTGCCTATACTTCTTTGATGTTTTTTTAAATAAGTTCTTGCGACTACAGTCGTCATACAATATCTTTACAGAATACTTATATGCATTACTATATTATAAACTTTATACTGCAAAGATGAGGAGATACATCATGGGTACCATATTATTCGGCTTACAAAAATGGTTATTCGTGAACAAAATAAAAACCCCAAAATTCTCAAATAGCAAACAGTTCAATTGTTATTTGGGTAACTATTTTTGAAGGCGGGCAGGGATTTTTCTGACTTTATAGAATTTATATTTTATATGTATTTTGTTCAAAAAATAGGGATTAAAAATCATATATGATATTTTTGTCGTTTTCAAAAAGAACAGTCGTTTCAGTCAATAGCTCATTGATTTTTTTTTAGCAAATTAAGATACTAGGTATCAAAAAAAAAAGCTCTAACATGGATGTATGGTCTTTTTTAACAACAAAAATGGTACCGTATAAATTATAATATATACAATTAAATTATTTTCTTTCTAGAAATAACATTGTGCTCTACAAAAATTGTCAATAAGTAACGGTTTGTTTTTTTTTCTGTTCTAAACTTGTTTCTATGTATTGAAATTCAAACAATGGGATTTTTTAACATCGCATATTATCAACATACAAGTATCAATCATTTATTTTAATTTCTTTATTAAAGGTTAATATACTTCTAATAAAAATTAACTTAATTAATTGAATTTTAATTAATACATAGTAATCTAATTTATTATATTAAATAATTCACTGGCATTTATCAATTCAAAGAGGCTAGTCCTGAAAATATAAAGTCTTTCAAGAGGATATCGAACTAGCTTGCCAAACTATCAATTTCCCAACTTGGGATTCCATGAATAACATTATTAAAACTTCCCTCGACAACAGCATTCCAATAAGATCATGCACAGTCTCCACACAAAACATTGACCCCTTGAAACACTATACTAAAGCTATAAAAACCACAAAAAAAGCAATTAACAAAAGCAAAAACAACTATAACAATAATTCCTTTTTCAAACTTCCAAAAGTCGCATATGCTGCTCTTCAAAAAATCACTAGTAAATCCATGCACCAAAAATTTCAAAAAATTGTTGAAAATTTTAATTAAAGAAAAGTAAGTCAAACTTAATGAAATCATCACTCTGGAAATACAGAAAGGAATTAAATCAAATTATTATAGATTCTGGATCAGATCAAAAAACACTCTCAAAAAACCACTAGGTGACCTAAAGTTCTCTCTCGATCTCTCAATACTTATGGGTAGCGACAATCAACTTTATGATGATCTGGATGAGCTCACAGCTATTATTTCTAACCACTTTAAGAAAATCTTGGATCCAAAACCTTTCCTCCTGAATAATGAATGGAATGTCTTTTACTAACTGCTCAATCCCATTCCTGACAATGCATTTGACAACCTTACACTACCTATTTCAGATCTAAAGATGGAGAAAGCTTTTGCCAATCTGTCCAAGCAAAAGATACCCGAACTTACTCTCATCCCAAACAAAACCTGGATCTATATCAGTATAATAGCGAAAAAACACTTAAAAATCCTATATAACAACTCACTGTCATCAAGCCTAGTCCCTAAATTTAGAAAGCAATTGGAAATTACCTTGTTATCAAAAAAAATTGTTTGCTCACATGACCTTGCAGACACATGTTCAATTTCACTTATCAAAACAAGTAGGAAAATCTTTACAAAAATCATCAACAATAGACTTACTACCAAGATTCTAAAGTATAAGGCCATCTCAGAATCTAACTATACTGGTCTAAAAAACCAAAGCACTACAAAGCCAATCACAGCAATCACCTCAAGTATTAATACGGCAAATAATCTTAACAAAGAAATTTGGATGGCATCATTTAGCATTTCTAAAGCTTTCGATTCTGTAAACCTCTCAAGTCTAAAAAAAGCCTTAGAACGAATCAAAATCCCAATAAAAACCACCACACTTATGCTTAACCTATTAAATGAAAGAGAACTAAAAATAATAACATATTATAATCTCTTCAACCTTTTTATAGTCAGTAGAGAACTTGATCAAAGTAAAATACTATCTCCATTATTTTGAACTATTTTTTATGACCCTATGGTCACAAAGATAATCATAAAATATTTAGTATCCTTCAAAATTTTTGCTTACATGGATGATGTTACTCTCACCAGCTCAAGTATACAATATCTATAAGGCATAACGAATATCTTCTACTCCTTCCTGTCCATTAACTCTATTAAGTGTAACAAAAAGAAAACAGAATTAATTACTAATTTCAAAACAAAAAACCAAAAAAGATATCAGTTTCTTATCATTAAGGGGAAAGAATTTATTCCAGTTCATATGAAGAAGGCATTAGATATCTAGGCATATACTTGTCAGAAAAATCTTCATCCACTGTTACAAAAAGCAAACTCTCAGAAAAAATCCATAAATTTACTAATGTTATTGCCTCACAGAAAGAGTGAAATGGACTGATAATCAGACAAGCCTTTCACTGGATCATATCAGTATAATTTGAATATGTTATCAATGCAGCAGTCTTTTTGGATAAAGAAATAATCACCCTTCAGAAAAAAATGAACAAACCAATTAAAGCAAAACTTGGAGTTGAGTGCACCATCTCTAACAAAATCTTATACTTACATACCAGTTTCAATACACTCAATTTTTAAAATTGCCATGACCTAATTACTATAAAAATCCTTATTATCAAATTCACTAACAGTAAAATTCTTCCATTTATCTCAAAAGAGATCATATCAATACAAGTTGCACAAGCTATCTGGTGTTGCCCAATCTGCTTTCCCTACTACTTTAAGGAGTTATGGCTTATTTCTGCTGCCATATTAGCAAAAAGATACAAAATTTGAATATGCCTATTTCCATACTCCTTCAACTTAAATAACCATGAGCACTCAATAGGATTAATTAACAGACTCAAGAAATCTGCTGCTCTTTCTTTATTTTACATCAATATTAAAATTGTTTACAATACTTATGTTCATAAGCACAACACTAAACTAACATAGGAAGAATTGTACACATACAGAGGTTACATAGTTACTGGTCTAATCCTTAACTGGTTTTCCTTCATCCCAAACACTTCTCAAACAATCGAAGGTGACTTAACTTTTCTCTCTAAAAGATATAATATCAAATTCTGGACCTTTTTGCTCAATAGCTCCATCAACCTTCTTAAAGTCCGAATAAATGCCATTCTATCAACAATAATTAGGAGCCAACACCGTTTATTGGATAACAAAAAAATAATTTCATGCTTATGCCTAATACAACCATACTTTAAAGAAATGAACACCACCAACCTCGAATCCATCTGGCATACCAAATATGCAAACTCAAATGTCTTGCTTAACAATATTCAAGAACTTCTAAACTTCTTCTCAGCTATACCAAAAATGCACTTACAAGTAATTATCTCATCTCCACTATCAACTGACCAACCTATCAACATATTTCTCTAACACAAAAAAGCCAAAAATATTTTTCTAGTTTCCAAACCCACCAATATCCTATTCTACTTCCTATATTTTAACTTTTGGAGCATTATTTGGCCAGTACTTCTTCAAACTATCACCGATTCTTCATCTTTATCAACACTCAAAATTTACCTTAATAAAATCCCTGACTTATAAACTTCAGATTATTCAAACAGATTAGTCAAAATTTTCTATAGCAGACTTATTACTGAGTGTAATAACCTCATAATAGCGAAAAAGATTAACATTGCATAGTGTTAGCCTGGTAAAAGTCACATGGTATAGTCACGTACCGTGACTATCGCGTCGCGTACCCTGGAAATTTAGGATAG